GTAATTTGACAATGTTAATCAAAAATGGCTATTTAACATCTAGGAAATTATCTTAAGGTCATTACTGCAAAGGCTATGAGGATTTTTCTTCTAGCACTAATTTTAATGATACAAATTGGAAAACATTCTGAAATCCAGCAATAAAAGATTAATAAGATGAAAGATAACATCCATTTAAGGGATTTTTCAATGAAAAATTATTCAGTCATTTCCATGTGGAAAAACTTTCCAGGTAGAAAAAACCAGCCTCCTCTTTTGATCTTGTTGGGGCATCTCCATTAATCACATCCTCCTCTTTCCTGAGACAATATCTACCCTCCCTTTTCTAGGAAGCTTTAACAATGAATGAGTTGCAGCTGAGCGAAACTACTTTACTACCAAGGAATCATAAAGATGAAGGTATTCTAAGCACGCTACACTGATTACATATGCATTTTAACAAGCTAGGATGATATGCACTAAATTGTGGAGGATGAGATTAAAGAGGGTTGTTCACATTCCCTGAACTGTTTGAATATTTTACAAAGTTTTACCAAGGGGAAAAAAAATCTATCTATTTTGAAATTTAATATAAGGGAAAATTATCAAACTGGCCCATTGCACAAATACCTTGAAGCTAGAGTTACAGTCAATAAATTATGTGAAACACTAAGATACATGTTATTAATAAAGCAGTAGCAAGATAATAAAATGGGGACAAGCCAATGTCTAGATTCACTGTGTGTTTTCCAAAAAGCACTGCCCTGGAGACTCATCTATTATGGATTATGTCCCAACTGCTGATTGCAGTGCAAGGCAATTTTGACTTAATCATGTCTTGATGAAAAGATTAATGTTTAAAAATATGCAATTATCTTTCTTTTATTTACTGGGTGCGCTTGTTGGCAAAAAAACTAGATATGAAAATTCCCATTACAATTTATAACATGCCAACATAGAGAACAGCTGAGCAACTGAGGCCCAGAAGAATCCTAACTCAACTGATCCCATAGTCAGGGTTTTAATGGTACAGTGGGAGTATTACTGACATAGCGTTTGCATAATGATTATTCAGAATTTACTCTCCCTCAATCACCAACATCTGCAATTAGAAAAAATACATAGCATGCTAAGTAGGTTCATAATTTAGGAAGGGAGAAAAAAAATACATGACTATACTTTGGATCCAATCAAGCTATTGGATTATTCTGTGAAGCTGAAATGAGTAAATAAACTATGAAGGATTGGCACCTACCCTTTGAAGTGGTTCTTACACAATGCTTGGGGATAGAGACTCTTATGTTACTCAGAGGATAGAGTAGCCTTAAGCTTGTTCATCATATGTACATGGTGAGGGCATTACCTTGCCCATGTGAAAGATGGCCTAGGATCTACATTATTCAAGAAGCTGGCCTTGGCTTGCTTATTTATTTATATTTTTTTGAGTTGGGGTCTCACTCTGTCACTCAGGCTGTAGTTCAGTGGCACAATCATGGCTCACCAGTCTTGACTTCCTGGATTCAGGTAATCCTTCCACCTCAGACTCCGGGACTATAGGCACGTGCCATCACGCCCAGCTAATTTTTTTTTTTTTAAGAGATGAGGTCTCACTATTCTGCCCAAGCTCATCTTGAACTCCTGGCCTCAAGTCATCCTCCCTCCTTGGCTTCCTAAAGTACTAAGATTATAAGCGTGAGCCACCGCGACCGGTCAACCTTAGTTTAAATGTGGAAAATTTGTTTTCAAACTGTACAAGGGAACTAGGCTTAAAAAGCACTTGTAAGAATGATGTTCTCATTTCTGTCAATAATGCTACCATAATTTAAAATTTTCTTTTTGCTGTACAGTTACCATAGCAGTGAAAGATTGGTAGTCAACAGAATTATTTTCATTTCAATGACTGAGTAAATTAGCAGTTTTGCTAATTTGAGGCCACTGCAATTACATTTACTATCAACAATAGTGCTGCGATCTATTATGCCATTAAATCTTTCTGAAAATGGTAATAAAATGGCAGAATGCCTGCAAATGAAAAACAAGATCTCAAATGCAAATGCAAAACGGGGAAAGAGGAAAATAAGTTTCAGGCCCTAGTTTGGATCACTTCTGGTGATTTGGGGAGCTAAACATATATTGAGACAATTTATTCTTTGACCTGATACACTGGGCTCTCATTCTCTGTTATCGTCTACCCTAATCTCCACCACTCTGCGTAAACCTCTGCCCTAGGGCCCCCAATTTTTCAAAAGCCTCCTCTTTAGGTTGCAATGCTCAGATAGGTCTGACGGGGTGAGAGTCTAAGGGCCAGGTGGGATGGTGTTGGGAGGAGAAAATGCCCAGGTGCTGGGGAGGCTACCATTATCCCTACTGCTTGCCCCTCACCCCAGCTGGGCTCTAGCACTACCCTGGATTTTGCAGTCTGCTTCCTGCTGGCTCTTGATTGTGCTGTTTTCCTGTCTCTCAGGGTCACTGGTACAGCAATGAGACAGCCAGAATGTGGTGGAAGACAGAATAGGCCACACTCTGAAAGCTCTCTTCCAGCCCATCTCCTTCCTGATGGAAGCTATGTCCCAGGCCCCTACCCCCGATCCCGAACAGGGAAAGAAAACACCTTGTATCTTTCCAGGAATTTCCTCCCAGTTTAATTTCACTTTTTGGGATCCATCAACTTCCTTCTCTTCTTCCTGCTCTTACTCTTGTGGCAACTCCAAGGTAAAGTTTAAGGAAAGGATTCAGCTGCTGTGTTTGGGTGACATCTTTCCAGGAATGGGCAGTTCACCAATGGCTGTCAAAGGGTTATTACAGCTCCTACAGGATACATTAAGCATTGACCTACAGGCCAATTTTTGTTAGCATAAGCTTTTTTTCCTTTTTACATTAAATGTCTGTGTAAAATGGTATGGTGAATCCTAATATGCAAAATTGACAATATTACAGTTGCTCTGGTTGAAGCAGGAGCGGCAACTCAGGTTTCTACTGTCTAAGCAGCCCTTTCTCCATGGAGACCCCATAGGAACCTCGGGGGAAGCGGTGAGGTATTTGTTCAGACATAGATCCTCTTCCCCCCAAGTATTTGGCTTCTTTCTGCCCCCTCCCACAGGGAGCATTCTCTGGCCAAGACTGGTCTCTGCAGAATATGCACATTCCCAGTAAGGAGTTACAGGGTACAGGTAATTAAGCAGAGCTGAGAACCATGTGGGTGGCACCCTTACTCACTGTGATTGTAACCACTGCTTAGCAAGTTGAATAATTAACTTGCTTGACTATAAAACTGCTTGCTGTTCTGAGGTGTGGATTCTTTCTTCACTAGGTGCTTCTTTCTTCAACCAACCAGCTGCCATCAGTGCCTCCTGTAAGTTCTAATAAACTAATGACTTTCCCACTGGACCTCCAGTGACTTCTTTGGAATTTGTAAAGGACCTTATGTGTGAACCCTCTCAGACTTGGGGCTACCACATTACAGAAGCCTAGAATTACAGAAGACAGTCTGAAAAACTACCACCCAAACATTTAGACAATGTCTGTAGTTCCATTTCTTCATTTTTGTGTTAATTTATGATTCATTATATGGATAAAAGACCTTACTTTTTTCTTACTAGATGTATCTTTTGTTTGTTTCTACTGATAAGAAATAATAAGATGAATCAGTAGTCCTCAGATTTGTTTGTACTTTTAATTTTTTTTTTTTTTTTTTGAGCCAGAGTCTCATTGTATTGCCCAGGCTGGAGTATAGTGGCATGCTCATGGCCACTGCAGCCTCGACCTGCTGGGCTCAGGTGATCCTTCCGCCTCAGCCTTCCAAGTAGCTGGAACCACAGGCATGTGCCACCATACCCGACTGATTTTTTTGTTTATTGTAGAGTCGAGGCCTCGCCATGTTGCTTAGGCTGGTCTTGAAACCCTGAGCACAGATAATCCTCTCACCTTGCCCTCCCAAAGTGCTGGGATTACAGGCGTGAGCCACTGTACCCGGCCTTAATGTTTTCTAGCCATGCAAAAAGAATCGTGAAAACTTGTCCATCTTGGGCAGATCTCAATCTCGGGTAATATCCAAGGGTTTTAGAGGTTTAGAGCCTTTAAATAACTTTAGAAGAGCAAGCTATATTGCCTACAATTCCTGGATGATGAAAAAAAAAAAAAAGAAAAACAGTATAGATATCAGCATCAGACCCGGGGTCAGGCCTGTAGGAGAAGTGAATGCTAGAGAAGTAAAACCCCCTGTCCTTCATTCAACCCCCTATCTACCTATTCATTCAGCAAAACCAGCCATCTATCCATCCATCCACCCATCAGACAAGTCCTGGACACCTGTACAAGAGCTCCTCAAGAATGGGTGCCTTGTCTTGTTCAATCTTGTGTTCTCTATAGGCCTAGCATAATAAGCACAAAGTACACACTGTGGGTCAAAGACCTTGTTCTTGAACTCCTGGCTGTAGGCTCTCAAAGTGGGCAAAACAATTCCTAAACATTCTACTACAATTGCCAAGACAAGCATTATAATCTTGAAAGAGCTTCCTCATAGCTAACCTATATATCCCAGCTATAGCTTACGCTTAATTCCATTTTGCTATCCTTTGAATGAAAGTGAAACCAGCCCCGGCTGGGCATGGTGGCTTACACCTACAATCTCAGCACTTTGAGAGGCTAAGGCAGGAGGATTGTTTGAGACCAGGAGTTTGAGACAAGCCTGGATAGCACAGTGAGATTCCATCTCTACAAAAAAAATGTTCTTAAATTATCTGGGCTTGGGGGGGCACACCCATAGTCCTAGTTACTTAGGAGGCTGATGTGGGACGATCGCTTGAACCCAGGAAATCATGGCTACAGTGAGCTATAACTGTGTTACTGCACTCCAGCCTGGACTGGGCAACAGAGCAAGACTCTGTCTAAAAAAAATTAAAATAAAATAAATACAGTATAATAAAAGCTATTAGCTCGTTATTTGAGAGAGAGAGAGAGAGAGAGAGAGGAACCAGTCCAGGCCTGCGAAGTCCCTAAGAAAATGAATGAATTTTATACACTTTAAGACACAAGACTAATTTGTTTATTAGGTGCGTTCTATCAGTTGAGGAGGAAAATTTTTGGCAAATAAATAAATAAATAATCAAACAGATTTTAGAGCAAAGAAAAGAGCTCAGGAGGAGGAAAGCGGAGTCTTTGCATAGTTCTAAATGAACAGAAGGTGGCAGCAGTAGGCAACGTGGATTCTCAGCAGAAATGCAGCACTTGGAAAACCAGGGACAGGAGGCTTTGAGAAAGAGGAGAAGGTCAGAAGGTGACTAACTATTTCTTTTTCATAGAGACCATGTGTGGAACATTCGTCCTCTCTACTGTGGGGTGGGGATGCGGCATCTTACATGATCTGCCTGGGCATCCCGTACCCGGTCATGCCTGCCTGGGAGGCTCCCTTGTTGCTGCCCATCTGCAGGCCTATTACGTTCTGGCCCTGGCGAAGCTGTTCCTCAGAAAATCCTCTCCGATTCTGCTGGGCTTTCCTGGACAAGGGGAGTGAGATGGAATAATGTCATTATCACAGTTTTCCAACCTCTCTTAAGACATGCAGTTAGACAAGCTCTATGACCAGCAGGCCACTATAAGCTTTGACCCTACCCTGAGCCATAAACCTACCATGAGCCATGACCCTACCATGAGCCATGGTCCTACCCTAAGCTGTGGTCCCACCATGAGCCATTACCCTACCCTAAGCTATGGCCCTACCATGAACCATGGCCCTACCCTGAGCTATGACCCTACCATGAGACATGACTCTACTGTGAACCATGGTCCTACCATGAACCATGGGCCTACCCTAAGCTATGGCCCTACCATGAGCCATGACCCTACCCTAAAGTTATGGCCCTACCAACAGCCATGGCTCTACCCAGAGGTATATCCCTACTGTGAGCCATGGCCCTACCCTGAGCTATGGTCCTACCCAGAGCTATGGCCCTATCCTGAACTATGATCTTATCCTGGGCTATGACCCTACAATGAGCCATGACACTATCTTGAACTATGACCCTATCATGAGTTACAGCACTACCCTGAGCTATGGCCTTACTCTGTGCTATGGCCCTAACCTGAGCCATGACCCTACCCTGAGCTATGGCCCTACCATGAGCCATGACCCTACCTTAAGTTATGACCCTTCTTTGAGGTATGACTCTACCCTGAGCCATGGTCTTACCCTGAGCTATGAGCCTGCCCTGGGCCATGACTCTACCCTGATATGACCCTACCTTAAGCCATGACCCAACTTTGAGCTATGGCTCTCCCCTGAGCTATGGCCCTAACCTGAGTTATGATCCTACCTTAAGCTATGACCCTACTTTGAGCTATGACTCCACCCTGAGCTATGGCCCTACCATGAACTATGGTCCTACCAAGATGCATGAGCTCCCTGTCCCTCAGAAGTCCAGATTTTTTTTTTCCAGAATTTCCAACAAAGGGGACAGAAGAATCAGTGACCATCTTTCTGGAGAGTTCACTCTAGCATGCCTTCTTCCTCTCCCACTCTCTCTTCTTCCTCCAGCACTTTGGGCCATCTCAATCTGCTTCTCCTTACCCTTTCTCTCAGAGCTACCTCAAACCTTTGTGAAAATTAAATCAGCTCTTTTTACAAAGCATGTCATTAATCCCATTCCACCCTTCCCTATATAGGACCAAGATTAATATTCCATTTTAGAGCTGAGGTACCTAGGAATTAATGAGGGGAGTTTCTCATTCTAGATGAAATGTTAGCAAGCTTTGATATAAAGCTAGGTAGTAAATAATTTTGGTTTTGCAGCCACACAGAACGTGGGAGGTCACTAATACTGCTGGGACTAACATAGGGTTTCAACTGGCCAACATTTAGGAGGTTTTCAGATAAAGTTCATTTAAAGTGACACAAGTTGCCACTTCTTATAACAGTTAAGGTGAAGAAAGGGAATCTGGGAAATGAGTAATCAATTATCTGCTATAAGGTGCTCTTTTCATCTATCACTAAGCTGTCCAATTTAAGCCTCCTAACTCCCCTTGCCCCCATTTAAAAAAAATCACTTTGGGAAAAGACTCTTTACTGAGATGATCATATAATTTATCATCCAGACTAGGATACTGTTGAGGGTGAAAGAGGGTGCTATTAATAAATACACCGGGACAACACGTATTAACCAGGACTGTGCCAGGCAGATAGGACATATTTACCCTTCAGTAAATGCAAAAAGAAAAAGAAAGCAAGAAAAGAGAAGAAGGGAGAGGGGAATAAAGGAAGGGGCTTTGCACATAAATAGCCTCTGTGGAGCTCCAAGCCTTCAGACCCTTCCTCTGGTTAAAATCATCTTCTGGACCAGTGGGCAGGGAAGGGACTTTTACCTGTGAAACCAGGATGGCTCCCCCCGATAGCAGCCATCATCTTTGGTGACTGCAACACTGCCTAGAGCCATCAGGGTCCTCTGCACAGCCGCCATGTCCTTCCCTGGAAGCCAACAAAGAGACTGAGGCTAAGCATGCGTCAGGGCCAAAGAATTCTGGATACAGATGGACACACCAGGGTCGTTCTCATAGAAGGCTGTGGGTGACAGTCAAGAAGAATCAAACACTTTCCAAAGTTGCCCTAAGACAACCATACCTAAATTTCTCAGAAAGGAACAAAAGATAACTTGGCTAATTATTTCTATGTGGTATATACCAGAGATACCCAGTTTCCAATCTATTCATAGTCGCTATTTGAGTAAAATATCCCAAACACTTGGCAGCTCAGATACAGATAGGTCTCCCTGCTAAGTAGAGGACCTTGTCTCAGTGGGTTCTACAGTGTGTGGTGAGGAGATTTCATGTGGGTGGGCTGGTGTGGTGGTCTGCAGAAGAGGACCTTCCTCAGGAGTATAAAGAGAAGAGGAAACTGGAGAGAAGTTGGTTGGATGGAGTAATTCTAGGTCAAACCCCGGGTGGCTTCTCTCATCTACTTTATCTGGGTTAAAAGGGTCTGAAACCATCCATGTGCATCAAATTGAGTATTCATTTGGCTTCTTGGGCCAGAGGCCTTGCAAGCGAAGAAACGTAGATCAACAAGAAAGCACTCAATGTGACACAAGTGATTGACCCTTTAGTTTGTGCTGCTTGAAAGGAGCTAAATAGGGACAATAAACAACTGGCTTGCGTGAGAGAGGGAGAACAGAGCAAGGGAGAGAGGTGTGGGTGCAGCCCCTGACAGTGGGATCAGGGCCACTGGTCCCTGAGAATCCAGTGATCCTTCACCTAGGAAGAAGGCAACTGGGTCCTACGAGTCAGCCTGCTCCTCCCAGCCTTTCTCTCTTCCAGTTGACTGGTGTGTCTGGACCAGGAAAGATGCTACTGTGTGGGTAGCCTGCCATCGAAGACCAGATCAAGGGTCCATGCAAGGCACCAGTGTTAAGTACAAAAGTGAAAAGACACGGGGTTATAAAGGAAGGCAGCATTCAGTCTGGTGGGGAGCTGTGAAAGTGAAGGGCAAATATTAGGCCCAGCGAACCATCTGTGGTTTTTCTGGCCCCGCTGCTGCAGCCCAGTCACTGGGGAATACAGAATTACAAGGGACAGGCAGATGGAAAGTGAGAATGGAGCACGAACTGTAATAAAGTAAACAATTAGGGCCCTCAGAGGAAGTCCAGTTCAGGATGTCAATTTCTTCATAGAGGAGAGAGAGAGAACAAATCTTCCTCCTTTGCTCACCTCTCCCCTCTGCCCTCACCACCCATATGAGTCACAGGGTGACCGCTTGAATTCTCAGGCCCTGTGGGATTGGCTGAGGGATACAGGGGGGAGCTCTCAATGGAGTGTGCCCTAGACTTAAGGAACAGCTGGGTAGTGGAGAATGAAGTATTTGGGCAGCAGATGGAGGGGGAGGGAACAAGGAATACTAAGAATTAAGAGAAAAGAAATACAGGGATGGTTGTTAGAAAGACTTCTCCTTCACAGATGAAAGCATTTCTGTATTTGTCACTGTATTACAGGATACTTAAGAAAAAAATAAAAGAAGTGTAGTAATGATTCTGAAGGCTCATTCTGGGAAAAGACAAGGAGCAGATTTGCTCCTAAGCAGAAAGCCATTAAAGAGCACTTTAAAGCAATAATTAAACACAGGAAGACTTAAGTTAGGGTATATCCCTCATCTCTGCTTTGTATAAAGAGCACACAGGATGTCTGTTTCTGACGTTTGGAAAAAGCTGGCCTGATATGCCCAGGATCTGGGGAAATGAGGGGCCTGACACCCAGCATCTCAGCTATAGACAACACCCTCAAACAATGGGTGAAGAGTAAGCTTTGTTAAACCACAGACCCATCCTCCTTCACACATAGCTAGCTAATCTCTGCTGTTTCTGCAGTTAGAAAATTTCTAACACCGGCCAGGTGTTACATGAACCAAGAAAGGACAGAGGAAACTAAATTGTAGGCAAGAATAAGATATCCAGGGATCTAAAACTATCAATACAACCCCACCCTCACAGGAGAGTGGAAAAGAATGTGATTGCACAATTGAGGCAGAAGCCACCAAGGAAGGAGGCCTTGTTTCACAAGAGCAAATTAGAAATTTTTTCCTTAAGATCAGCAAATAAAGTATAGACTAGACATTATATTATATGTTATCTCAACACCCAATGAATTGGGATTATTTCTTACCCTGTATGGATGGAAAAACTAATTCAAGGAGGTTAATTAATGTGCCCAATCACCCAAAAAGTAACCAGAGCACAGCTCTAGCTATGACCTGTCTGAATGCAAAGCACAGGAACAGTCCACCAGGCCACAATGCCATTCCTCAGCAGGTGCCAGTGATCAGGAATGAGCTGAAGGGGTCACTTGGCTGCTTCCTAGCCAGGCCAGAGAGAATGTACTGGGTAGTGGGGGGAATGAAGGGGTGAATAAAATTGGGGCCTGATATGCCCAGGTTTTGGGTCCTATAGGATCAAGGCCATAAGTCTTTGAGTATTTTGTCTTCATCCAAATAAGATTAAAGCAAAGAAAAGCAGTTGAGGCTTCGCCATGGGTGTGTTGACCAAGCTAACTATTGTCAAGAGTCTAAATAACATTATGGCCAGAAATCTGCCTTCATAACCAACTGGTTCACATCTAACTCATTTTCTTGTCATGTCTAGTATTTTTTTTTTTTTGAGTTGGAGTCTCACTCTGTTGCCTAGGTTGGTGTGCAGTGGCATGCTCATGGCCACTGCAGCCTCAACCTGCTGGGCTCAGGTGATCCTTCTGCTTCAGCCTTCCAAGTAGCTGGAACTTCAGGCGCATGCCACCATGACTGGTTAATTTTTTAGAAATGTATTTATTGTAGAGACAAGGTCTTGCCAAGTTGCCTAGGCTGGCCTCGATCCCCTGGGCTCAGATAGTACTCTCGCCTCTGCCTCCCAAAGTTCTGGGATTACAGGTGTGAACCACTGCACCTAGCAGGTATGCTTTTAAATAGAGGTTCCTTGTGAAGAATTCCACCACTCGGAGGCTAATGAGATGAAAAGAGGCCTTTTTTCCGGTTTCTCCTTCTTGCTTTACCAGTTCAGAAGCCTAGATCAAGTACCATTGGAGAGGAGAGGCATGCAGAAGGAGCCAGGGTCACTTGTGGAAGCTGATTCCTGTAACTAGGGGTCAAAAATGTGAATGTGTAAAGCAGCACTGAGGTTCAGAAAGCTCTATGAAGTGTGCTGGGAATACAACAACAAAAGCTAAACTGCTTATATCACAACCAAGTATAACATCTGCCTAGTGATGGAGCCTTCAGAACTGTACAAGTATAAAAATGGCCACACACAGCTGCTTCAGAGCAGGGTTTCCCAAGCTTCTTGAATTATTTATGGGAGTTGTAGTGGGGAAGGGAAGGCAACTCTTTAAAAATATAAATTTTGAGGTCATTCTCCTGAGAGACTGATTGGACAGGCCCCGGGAGCCTGTCTTTTTAATAGGCTCCCCAGGTGATTCATACCCTCAGGAAGTTTGAGAAGCATGGGTTTTGCCTGGTGACTTCCAAACTAAACTGATCATCAGAATGACTCAAGAATCTTAAATATTCAGATTGGAGGGCAGTCTTCTGGGATGATTCTGATGTGGCTAGTTGGACAGTAGGCATTGCAGTAAACCTTGGATGGATTCTTGGGACTCCTCAAGTCAGCTGGAGAACTAATGCTCCAAGCCACTCTTCCAAGACAAAAAGAAGAAAAATAGCCCTAAATGAAGGACCAATGAAGTTTTGGGAATTGTCTAGATGTGGCGATAAGAGAGATGAGACTGAGTCATGGTGGTGATCTAAGAATGGACCACATGGATCTTAAGAAGTTAAATGACATAAAAAAGAGGATGAGCCCAATTTACACTAACAGCGCAAAAATTTAATTGGGCTATCTGCATTCAGAAAGCTGTTTACCATGGAGGAAGCTAGTATAAGACTAGAAGTTTTTAAAAGAGCTAGTAGAATCTGAATATCGTACATAACATATGATTCCAACTGTATGACATTCTGGAAAAGGCAAAACTATGGAAGCAATAAAAAGATCAGTGGTTGCCATGGATTGAGGGTGGGTAGGAGTTTTAGGGCAGTGAAAATATTCTTTATGATCCTACAATGATGAATACATGTCATCAGACATTTGTCCAGAATCATTGAATGTACAACACCAAGAGTGAACCCTAATATGAACTATGGACTTTTTGTGATAATGATGAGCAAATGCAGGTTCATCAATTATACAACACATGTGCCACTCTGTTAGAGGATGTTGATAAGGGAGAAAGCTATGGTGTGAGGGGACAAAGAGAATATGGAAGATCTCTGTACCTTCCTTTCAATTTTGCTGTGAACCTAAAACTGCTAGAAAAAAATAGTCTTAAAAAAAAAGAACTGGCCGGGCTCGGTGGCTCAGCTTGTAATCCCGTACTTTGGGAGGCTGAGGTGAGTGGATTGCCTGAGCCCGCGGGTTTGAGACCCGCCTGGGCAACTTGGCGAGACCTCATCTCTACAATAAATCAAAAAAATTAGCTGGACATGGTAGCGCGTGCCCTGTAGTTCCAGCTACTTGGAAGGCTGAGGTGGAAGGATTGCCGGAGCCCAGCAGGTCGAGGCTGCAGTGGCTGGGAGCAGCCACTGCATTCCAGTCTGGGCGACAGAGTGAGACTCAAACTCGGAAAAAAAGAGAGAGAGAAAAAAAAAAGAACTAATGGCATGGTAGCTTTCTCTGTCTTACCTGAAAAGCTTTTCCAGAACGAGTCTCGGCTAGCAACTGACTTCTTTACTTGACAATAGAGTGCTTCCTGTTTCCTACATTATCAGAAAGTAGTGTTCCCTTAGTGTGGGCCTGTACCGTAAACTACTAAATTATAATCTTGGAAAGTGTGACTAGAGGTTCTGCATTGTAAGTACCCAAATCAGAGATTCTCGATGCCAGTAAAGTTTAAGTACTAAGATATGTTCTTTTAAATTCTTTTTTAAAAAAACATTTC